CTGAGTCATTTCTGCACATATACATGTTTTTCCATTGTCCCCGCCCCGTTCTCTCCCCACTCAGACTGCATGTTCTTGGCAGCCAGTCTTTTCATAGTTTTCTTTAAGGGGCTGGGACTATTCAACAGCCTGGCTTGCACATGGAATTTTCACTTCCTATTCTTAGTGAAGACATAACGGCTGCAGTCAGCACAGAGGAAGCGCTGCAGCATTTGGTCTGTTTGCAGTCTCAGATCAGCTGAACTGAAGTTCAAACTGGAAACATGGATATCTGAACTGAGAGCAAATCCAGAACCTGCTTAAAGGAAGGCATCAGAGGGAGCATGTGAGTGAGAACTTTGAGCGTCACAGTGGAGTTACTTAGGAATGTTCTCTTTAGGGTGGGGTTACAAATGACTAGCTGTAGTTAATGCTCAGTTGTACGGACAGAGGCTCAGTTTAAAAATCTATAGATTTTCTAGTATGTGAACATTAACCACAGCCTGGGAGAACTGGATTATACCCATGAAATACTTACAAAATAACTCAGATGTACTTAAAGGATCAAATATGGTTTGATGAGGTTTACTATGTGTAAGCTTCTTATTTATAGTTTTTTACATTTTCTGTGGCGATAGAACATATCAACAGCATGTATTTTAAGTCTCTACCTGAAACATGAGCTAGTACAATTAGAATAACGTATGTTAAAGTTTTATATGTTAGTTTGAGCTGATTAAATGATCTGAAACCTGATAACATTTTAATTATTTAGACCAAAATAATTAGATACAGATGAGGTTTGAAACACTGCCACATCCACTGAGATACCCAGAGTGTGAGGGATAAAAACTAGCATGGTAGGTTGATAATTTTCTTTATTTTTCTATTTAATCATATCTGTGATGTTTTTTCCCTGCAGACAACTGTATAAATTTCTTTATGTTTGCAATTATTATTTGCTGATGATACACTGGAATTTCCCCAGTTAGAATCATTTTATTCTATTCTGGTGAAACCCATTGACATTATTCTTATGCATACAGTCACAGTAAAAATAGTATAAGTTTAGAGTTTCACATATCAGGACATAATAAAAAACGATATGGCTTTTGTTCTAAATGTTACTAAATCTAAAATACAACAGGTTCTACACTCTGATTTTGTCAGAGGAATTTCATTCCACTAGTCAATATTTCAGTCATGTTGGGGAATGGACTTTGGCAGAGTCATTTTAACACCGCTACTCTTTTTCTCAGCCATTCTTGAAATGTGGGCAAAGTATCAGCTCACACTGAGTCAGAGGATTTCTTGGTCCACTCAAAGACTGCCAGCTGTGCATGTCTGAGGCTAAAAAAAAAAACACCCAAACCACCATGCCTCCCCCACCAAGCAACAATGCCAACAGCTGTTATTAGGTCTTTGTTGCCTTTGACTTTGTCAGATGGTGAAACTTCTCTGATTTCCTTAATTTTGGGTTATGAGCTGATGGTCTTCCTCCACAAATGTCTTAAAATCAGCCCCTGTCTCTTTCTGCTCTGCTGCCAATGAGAGAGACTGATTGACCGTCCCACCTACCAGGTCACCCCACTGTCACCAATGTGCCTATTCTGTCACTATACTTAATGACTTTTCAAAGAACATCAGTACTGGTCAAAATCGGAATCAATAAGTCAGGCTTTTTCAAGATCGGTGATCCAGAAAACTGCAATTGGTGCACTTCTATTTGTAATGCATACTTTTTGTTTTTAGAGTGTTTAGCATGGGGGTGATTTGCATGTTTTAGTGGACTTTATTGATTGGTTTCCACTCTCACATAATGACCCATACTTGTCTAAGCTTACATCACCTATCTGGGAACATCTCTGGGTGGTTAAAGGTGAAAAGCACACAGTCAAAGTTGACAGATTCCTCCCATTCTTATAGAAAGGCAATTAACAGTAGAAGAGCAGCAGAAGGCCAGGCAGAGAAGAAAACTTTAATTATCAACACCAGCAGCTGCATCAACAGCAGAAGCGGTGGACCTCAGGGAGCCAGTCTAGAGCTCTTCCCGTTGAGTGAATATGAGTCTAGCACTCATTTCTCCCCTGACATAATTGATCAGAATGACTGATGTCCAGTTGTCTATGTGCTGTCCACTGTGTACTGCCCCCTTGTGGTATCTGCTTGGCCCAAATAGAACTGGACTCCCAGGAGGCCTATTTGTCCATTTTCTGATTTTTTTCATAAAGTCTATAATCAAAGGAAAATTGCTTTCAACGCTGAAACACCTACTCTCAATGCTACCTGACACGCTATTGGTTAGTCTTTGCAAAACAGCCAATCAATTAGTGCCAGTCATTTTCTTTGGTGCTGATTGGCTGAACCTCCAAGATGAGTAACATGGAAGACAGTTGCTGTTAGCTTCTAGGGTAGTGCTAAAACTGTTTCCACTGTGTGTATTACTGTACACACAGTGGTAGTAGTACAAACATTTGGTGTTTGAACTATTGAAATTCACAATTATAAGCATTTATAGAAGAGATCTCAAGTATTCTGTCTTTCAAGCTATGTGGCTGTATTCCCTCACCTCGTTAAAACCATGAGCCCACTGTAAATTTAATTAACCTTTTTTCCATTTTTTATTCCAAATGTGTATTTTGGACAAACTTTTCCAAACAATACTACTCCAGTAAACTTGTTCTTCAATCAGATGCAAATTTATAAACCTAAGAGAAACTTTTTCCTTCAACTCTCCCACACCAGCCATGCCTGATGGGTCTCTTTCCATCGCCACTGCTAGTACATTAACATTTAGAATTTTTGTCATTTTTGTGAGCATTTTCTAACTTTGGAACAAATTTGCTGGGACATCCACTCCTGGGAGGTAACATAATTACTTGACTGTGTTATAAAACGACACTATGTGCCTGGAAAACCCATAATACTTCTCCTTTAAGGCTCAGAAAAAGGAGATGTTGCAGAGTTAAAAGCATCAGTTTATCAGTTCTTTCCGATATATCCTCACTGGTTATCCTCACAGCAGACAGCAGAGCCAGAGAATTTTCATAGAGGTGGCGAGGATGGGACTGTTGCTTACTCAAAGGTGACCAACAACTGATCGAAACCAGAGCCATTTCGCAGCACAACATCCGTATTCTCAAAATAATTAACTAAAGATAGATCATTTTTAAAGGCCTTGTTATGTTAATAAATACAGAAGTATATTGATATTATAACCGCTGCCACCACCTGTTTTGGAGGGAAAGTGCTTGCTCTTATGGCGCGACTTGGCCAATGATTGGCCTCCCCTGCTGTGAAGTTATGAAAACATTTGTTTTAGTAAGGAAGATGTGAGTCATCTGATTCTTCTCAGAGTAATTTATGAAAACAAATGGTGACTGATCAATAATATGCTCACGGCTCAGCTCTGGAGACAATTACTACAAAGTGAGAAGTTTTATGCAGTATGTCAGCAGGTCAGGTAAAGGTAGGTTAGTCCATAAGGTGAACATGCATCCTGTCCGACATAGATCCATTATTTATGCATTACATATTATCAGTTGAGATTGTTAGACTGTTGAGGATGATGTTTGTCATAGTCTCTGCATATGCCTCTGACCTCTCTCCAAATGAGATTTTCTTCCTCAACAGTCCCTCTCATACTTTTTTGCAGTGAACCACCAGCATCAATAGGCCATAAGCAGACATAAAACCCACCATCTGTACAAGGTTAAAAATGTTGATCAGTCCAAGGTCTTTAATAATGTTCAGCTTAAGATTTTATTGTGCTGAAAACTCACAAGAGCATCACATAAGTGCCTGAAGCATCAACCTGTGTTGTTTCAACAATAAACTGTCCGGTTCCAGCAGAATGGACATTTCAAGATCAAGTTTAAACGGAGAGAGATAAGAGGTGCTAGAAGACACAAACAAGGATACATCTTATAAAGCATCTCACAGTTAACTCCAATATGAAATCAATCCAGTGTATCTGTGTATTATGTAGTCTTTAGAACTAAATATCTTTGTGACTTCTTCTTCTCCTGCAGGTACAGCTTTAGACTGGTCTACATTTTCTCCTATAACTTGTTCCAATTTTGTGGTCACACATGGATCCTGGCTAACAACATTGCAAGATTTTTTACCTTTGGTCAAGGTAAGTTAAAAAGAATAAGATATGATAATCTTGCTGCATTTCTGTCCTCCAACATGAATGCTGAAAGCCTCTCTAGAGCTTGTTGCAGGTTACATTGTTCTATGGTTTGAATTGAAGAAGTCGACATCTTTTCCCAACAGGAAGCTGGATCTATCTGGTTGAAGCCAAACGGTGCTGTCAGCACCAGGCTTGCTGGTTTCTCCACTTTACATTAAGTTTATTGAACAGGTTGAGGGTCATGAAAGTGGGGGGTGATGAGCAACAGAGCTGGAATGAAAGCGACTGAACTCTGCTAGAATTGTTTTATCAAATAGTTCTTCTTTTGGGGGTTTCTTCTTGTTAATACGTAATAGGTGTTAATAGGTAATAGGTATTATTCTCCACTGTTGCCCAGTACTTGCTTAGGGTGGCAGATAGGTTCATTGATTGAATTGAATGGTTTACTTGGATAAACATGTCTTCCTGTCCTGGAATCGTTAACTGTGGAATAGGAAACTAAACTGTACTGGATTTGAATCTGAATCTGCTACATTGGAATGAGCTGAAATTTATCAAATGGATACCATAAACTGTTTAAAACTGTATATAAATGCAACCTGTTTACCCGAAAAAGTTCCTGTGGAAATAACACTGAACTGAATTGACATTAATGTAAAAAAAAAAAAAAAGATGGAGGTAATTGTATTGAAGTGCAGGGTAACTAGACATAAATTGAAGCTTATTTTTATGAAAGAAGTTCTGGATTACTGACAAACCTAGGCCTTCACCTGGGAAAGGAATTAAACTAAAACTACAGGTTGTTTAGCAGAAGAAAACCAGCCTGAGGAAGCCTTTAAATCCCAACATTTACAGGAGGATGCTTGTTTAAATTTTTATTGTTTCCTTTTTTTGTAGTTGCTGATTCACCAAAATACAGCAAATATTTTTCTGAAAAATCAAATTGAACATCAGAATGATGGTTGTTGGCATCAGGCAAGAAGGTTTGGTAATTTTAGAACCTACCATCCATCCATTTTCTGAACACCCTTGTCCCTCAGTGGGGTCGGGAGGGGTGCTGGTGCCTATCTCCAGCTAACGTTCCGGGCGAGAGGCGGGGTACATCCTGGACGGGTCGCCAGTCTGTCGCAGGGCAACTCAGACACACAACCATGCGCACACACACACACACCTAGGGGCAATTTAGACAGACCAATTAACCTAACAGTCATGTTTTTTGGACTGTGGGAGGAAACCGGAGTACCCGGAGAAAACCCACGAATGCACAGGGAGAACATGCAAACTCCATGCAGAAAGACCGGGGCCGGGAATCGAACCCAGAACCTTCTTGTTGCATGGCAACAGCTCTACCAACTGTGCCACTGTGCAGCCTTAGAACCTACCAATCTACTGGAATTTTCACGAGAGGTGGACGGATTACAGTTTTCTGATTAATCACTGATCATAAAAAAAAACCTGTGTTGCTGATTCCGAATTTGGCTGATACCAATGTTTTGTCTAAAAGTTGCTAAATTTAATGACAAAATCGCTAAGTTGTCAACAGTGAGGTGAGTATTTGGACCCACCAGGTCCATAGACGTGACCTGGCGGGTCTGTCAGTCAGCGCTCTCTCATGGCAGAGCAGAAATAAACAGTGGCTGATTTTCAGACCTTTGATAAGGTAGATAAGATTGGTGGATAAGATTGGTTTCCTCATAATTATTGGCAGAATGTTGATGTCCCAAACTAAGGAAATCAAAGACAATTTATCAGTGTACTCACAGCAATCTTTCAGGTTTACTCAGAATGGTTTGAAAAATAAAAACAGGGAACTTTGCTCCAAGCTACAACAGTCAATGTATTCATAATAATACCTTTCATCTAACAGGAGTGTAACGAACAATACCTAAAACCCACAAGATGAGACGCAACATTGAGTTCACCAAAATTAGTCTAAGGCTGAACAACATTTTCATAACAGTTTAAAGACAACAAGATCAAATTTATGCTGCAAAAAAGACTTTTATTACGTATATCTAGAAGTTTTGTCACAAATTCAACTGATATCTTTCTTTTTCTGATTTATTGAATCTCAGCCTTTGGAGCAGAACTTCAGCTATGCATGGCCTTCTATAAATTTTCATTAAAAAATATGACATTCACACTTAACTTCCGAAAAACTGAACATATATATTTAAAGAAATAACTAAAAAAATAAGTAAACTATTCCTTTTCCTTTTGTTCTTTACAAATATTTTTGCCTTCATAATAAGTGTAAATAAGGTTATTGTTAAACTTGTTAGGATCCTGGGCTGTTGCCCAGGATCCTAACAAGGTTGTTTTGTAGTTTGATTTCCTTCTAGCTTCATTATTATTTTGTGTTACTTTCTTATTTTGGTTCGATCTGTCTTGTTCCTGTTTACCTTTTTTTGTTTTCCTTAGTGTTTCTAGCTATGTTTAATTATTATTATAATTATTCTTTGTCATGCTAGTTTATTATGTTTCTTTAGTCAAGTTAATCTGTAGTGTTAGAATTACTTCCCTTTTCCCTGTGTACTCTTCCTTGCCCCTTGTGCCACCTTCTCTCCCCCTCCACCCACACCTGCAATCACTTAGCTCATCAGCCCAGGCATTTTGTTCAGCATTCAACCTCCCCATTATTTAAGCCTTTGTTTCTGATTCATTAGTATCCTCTCTTCTTGTCATCTTTCCTGTCTGCTCGCCATTGTCAGCGCCCCCTGGAGTTCATGGTCTTGTTCCTTTTTTGCCTTCCTCTGCAAGTTTCTTCATCTTTTCATTAAAATCACAAAAAATCAACTCTATGTTACATGCCTGCTTCTTAATGGGTCCACTCTACAAACACTGAACATGACAGAACAATCCAGCCAGTAGGACCCAGCAGAATTCCTGTATTTAAGAGAATCTTAACAATTACAACTTACTTAGAAAATAATTAATTGACACCATGGCAAAATCATGTTCACTACCCCAAAGATTTGCTTTGTGGCGACAAAGTAAATGTGGTGCAGGACTGGATTCCAAATCTCCCTTCCATAGGCTTAACGGAGTTGTTCAAGGAGGCAGAGTGGCACCATCAGGCAGCTCTGACAGTAATGGCTGGCAATCCACCTCCAGCTTAGTAATAAGCGCATACAACTCCAGTATTAAGCGCCTCTACATCGGTCCCAGCCTTCTGCCCTTTGCCCTTCTCCACAATTCCTGTTACTCCTTCCCGGTCTCCACTCTCCAGATCTCTAGCCGCGGCTTCATCTTCAGCAGCTGCAGTCACGTCTCCTGCACCAGTCTCGTCTCCAGCCACATTCCCAGCCAGCAACATCAGTACCCATTCTTACATCAGCAGCAGCACCTCAGGCTCCAGGTTTCCACAGCTGTGGAACTAGGTTGTACGGCTAGCTCCTGGGCTCCAGACTACCCAGTCTCCCAAGCTCCACAGTGTTTGTCAGTCTCCTGAGTACCACAGTTCTCTCCAGCCCCTTGCCTCCGAGGGATGCAAGGACGACCCGCCTCTGTTCCCAGTGCCACTTCGTGATTCCCCAGCTCCCGAGCCTCTACATCGGTCTAAGACATACACCAGTCTTAAGGGAAGGATTTTCAGGCCCTTCATCTGCTGCCAGCTCTTCAAGTTTCACTGATGCTGGTCAGCAAGCGACAAGCGTCCTGGACTCGTCATAGCCAACAACTCTGGCTTTGAGCTCTTCGTAGAGATGGAATGGTTCTAAAGTATTAAGAACTCTTCTAAATCCCAGATTTTCCATAACAGAAAATGCCCTCATAAAACCTGCAATAAAAATGCCAATGTATGTTGTTATTGCTGCAGCAGCCACATGAGAGTGGAAGCTGAGATGCAAAAACATTTTTCAGCATGTCTGCAGTGTTGGCAATTTCTTCACTTGTGATGGTCCTGAAGGTCTCTTTGCATTGTGCTAGTGTTAGTCACGGTGCACAGTAATATATTCTTGAAGTGTTTACATATTGTTCATGTCTTGTCTGTCACTCTGTTGCCGTTTCTCATTTCTACTGGAAACACAAAATGCTCCCAAACAAACAATTTAAAAGTATTGGGGGCAACTTCTATTGCAACTTTATCGGGTGAAGCCACGCTGACTGGGACTGGCTTTACAACTGATCATTGTTTAAATTCCACAGCCTACCTGCGTATTGTTACTGAACATGTTCACCTCTTCATGACTATGACCAGTGTCCACATCTTCTAATGGTTGCTTCCAGCAGGATGTTATGAAGACCAGCTTATCTCAAAATGACAATGAATTCATCTACTTCAAAGGCGTCCACAGTCACCAAATCTCAACCCAATATAAGCAGTTTTAAAAGTAAACTGCTTATATCCAAAGAGGGTTTTAGCAAACTGTACCTAATAAAGACTCTTGTGAGTGAAAGTAAGACTCCTCTCAGATGTTTCTCTAGTTTAGTTGCCTTTGGCGATCGTTGCAGATGCTCTGGCAGACACATTTTACTCTGTGGGTTTTGCGATGAGCCTGTGCCAGCTGCTCTCCATCCTGGAGATCTTCCACATCGCAGACGGCATCGAGAAGGCTCGGCTCCTTCCTCGCTTCATCCAAGTGTGTGCAGCAGTTCACCTCTTTGTTGATGCCTTTTTGATTCTAACAATCTCTGGTTTCATCATGATTTCTTTGGTTAGGTGATTGAGAAAAACATTCTGCTGATTATGGTCATCATGTTGGAAGAGATCCAAAGTAAGCCAGTGGTGTGTGTGCAGTTTTTCCTGTGGAATATACTGGACCTCTTACGGTGAGCAAACAGCCAGTCACATATCTTATGAGCACCAAGCCCGTTTCACTCAGATCTTTCAAAGTAAAAGTGAGAAGGGTTTTGTAATAAATAGGCATTTGTTAAATTTTACACATAAAAATTGGTCTGTTAGTTGCATTCTTCACACTACAAGTATACATATTCTATATTCTTCGAGCTACTCAAACCTAATGTAAGGCTGCAAAAACTCAACAAGAAACCAAAAGCAAAAAGTATATTATTTATAATATCAGTATATTATTTGCTTTATGTAATTGTAACTGCACACATGCTTATTACTTAATCTATGATGCTTAGTTAAAAAAAACAGTACTTTGTTGTCTTTGTCTCTGTTCCACATTTATAACATTGTCTCTTTGTACACGATGTTAGTTTATTATTTCCAAATCAAAAGATTCATTGGAGATATTTTCACATTTCCATTCCTAGCTAATGGTAGAAGTAGATGTTTAAAATTTCGCAAATATAGATGCATCATGCAACCATGCTGTAAGCGCAACTTCATAAAACAAGAGCATTCTTATCCTGAATGACATTTGTTGCCACATTTAATGTAGTAATTCTCTACATTTTATCTGTGTTGTAGTTTCTGAGTCAGAAGGATCTTCTTAGCAATGTCTAGTTGCTAAAATAATTTAGGGTTAGCAAGCAGCATCCCCAAAAGCCTCTGAACCTTTGTAAGAACAGACCTTGAAGTTCTGATCTGAACACCATGGAGTAGGTGTGGGAAGAAAACAATTTGATTTGATTTTAACTCACATAAATTATGTGAGTTAAAATCACCTCAGTATCGTCGGTCCATTCGTTTTCTTCCCACACGTACTTCATGGTGTTCAGATCAGAACTTCAAGGTCTGTTTTTACAAAGGTTCAGAGGCTTTTGGGGATGCTGCTTGCTAACCCTAAATTATTTTTTTGTTTTGTGCTGCTGTGCCTTGGTTAAAAAACAACACTGTCACTTTCTGATGCTCGTTGGAATTTAACTCTGCTTCCTTCAGTTAAAGCACAATTAGAGGAAGTGGATTTGTGTAGAAATACACCTAAAGAGGACATTGCCAACTGTAATGTCCAAACACACTTCCCTTATCAGGTCAAACAGTGCAACACACTGCATGTCCATGGGTGCGTTCACAGCCTGAAGTGACCCAATTCCGATTTTTTTGCCGGGGCCGTTCACACTGCCAGTAAATGCGAACTTCTGCAGTGTGAACGGTCAAACGATCTGAAAGTGTCCCGCATGCGCACTAGAGGGCGCAATAGCATCAGCGTTCTCAGTGTTCTGTCAACTGCCATAAAAAGAAGAAGAAGAAGAAGAAGAAGAAGAAGAAGAAGAAGAAGAAGAAGAAGAAGAAGAAGAAGAAGTTGTTGTTGTTTTTGGAAGTAAACATGGAGGCTAACGGTGGAGCTTAGCTTACATATTTGAAGTTGTTGTCCGGCCGGAGCAGCATATTAACAACTTAATCCTCATATAATCCATCAGGGTTGTTGTTTTTCTTCCCGCTTGCACGTATCAGGACGCAGAATAGTGAGATTTGTTGAGAATCAGTGACGTTCGGTTCGGATGAATGCGACCTGAACGTTAGGTCACATTTGAATCGGATACGTATCGGATATGGGTCACATTCGAAAAAGAATCCGACCTGTGCTGTTCACACTGCCATGAAAAGATCGGATACAGGTCGCATTATGTCAAAAAAACAACAACACTGGGCTACTTTAGGCTGCAGCCTGAAGTGGCCCAGTGTTCAGGCTGCAGTGTGAACGCACCCCATGTTGCCTGTCACATCTTGTGAGTTGTCTGTACTTCAGGTACCCTCATGAACTTCTGTGTGTTATGGAAAGACCTTCCGTCGCCATGTTGTGGAGCCGTTACTCTCTTTGGATCCCCTTATACATCCTGTCAGTTATCATTGAAGGTGAGTAAGCTTCAGAAATCTGAATGCATGCTGTGCCTTTAAAATCATGATGTCCCCTAAAATGTTTAACATGGTGTCACCTTTTAATCAGAAACTTCATTGTTCTTCACTTTACATCACAGAGTAACACAAACTTGTGAATATGAAGCAAAAGAAAAATGCAGAAGATCTGAGACCGAGGCAGAGGTTCCACCACCCTGAACAGTTGTTTTAAAATGGTCTATTTAAAGTCCAGATTGAAATACAACTGAGAATCTGCGGCAAAACTTCAGACAATCAGATGCTAAGAAGAAAAACATCTTCAGCTTACTGGTACCAGAGACTAAAACTGAAACTGCAACCAATGATGGCTCTGCAACAGGGGTGTCCAAACTTATTCTCCCATGGGCCAAAATCAGCAAGTTAAATGTACAAGGATAAAAACTATAACTTTTTAAAAGCTACAAAAAAATTTCAGTCTTTTATATGCTCTACATTAAATTATGCAGAATTTTTATTGTTTTTTTTTTTTTTTTTTTTTTTGTAGGAAAGAGGTCAATGTTGAGCCAAAATCTGAAAAGGAGTTTTCCATGTTTGTCTCACTAAAAGAAAGGCATCCAGCTTGAACATTATATGGGATTCAATTGGAAAAAGTATATACAAAAGTTAAATCTATACTTAGTACAAGAACAGGATGCGGGTCATTGTTTCTCTGGAAATGGCTGCTGTACGTTATCCATCCATTTTTTTCCGCTTATCCGGGGTCGGGTCGTGGGGTTAGGAGCTCAAGTAGGGAGGCCCAGACTTCCTTCTCCCAAGCCACCTGTTCCAGCTAGTCTGGGGGTATCCCAAGGCGTTCCCAGGCCAGCCAAGAAACAGTCTCTCCAGCGTGTCCTGGGTCTTCCCCGGGGCCTCCTCCCGGTGGGATGTGCCTGGAACACCTCATCAGGGAGGCGTCCAGAAGGCATCCTGACGAGATGCCTGAGCCACCTCAACTGGCTCCTCTCGATGTGAAGGAGCAGCGACTCTACTCTGAGTCCCTCCTGGATGACCGAGCTTCTCACCTTATCTCTAAGGGAGAGCCCAGCCACCCTACGGAGAAAACCCATTTCGGCCGCTTGTATCCGTGAATGTTGTATCTAACTAATTTTGTCCAAATGAAATAATAATCTCCTTTCACCACCTTTGCTGGGGAGCCCAATCTTGAATAAAAGTCCAAGGGCCGCCAATTGCCAGTTGTCCGCACCCTGAACACCTCATTCTACAGAATACTGACTGAAAACAAATGTACAGTCACACTTTCCCTTTTGTAAAGGACGTTGAAAGTTGGGTATCATTAAGGGGCATGAATGGTTTTATAAAACCTTGAATGTGAGTTACTGATCAACAACACACTAGGTGTTCTGATGTGCAAGGGAGGTGGTGAGAAACCACAGGAAATGGAATGCCAAAGAACTGCAGATTTTAAAACAGGATGTGTGTGAAAAGATCTCATTCCAGCTGTGTGTGTACATGTTTGTGGGCTGCCGACCTGTGCAGTCAGTCAGGTGAAGCTCAGGCCAGATCTCTCTGTTCTCCAGGTGTCATTATTTATGAGGCGCTGCCGTACCTGGAGCCGTCAGTCCCCCACCTGCCCTCCCTGCTGCTGCTCTACCTTCTGCTTCTCGCTGTGGGTAAGGAAAGAAAGCAGTCCAACTGAAAACACACACACACACAAACACACTGCATGGGGCCTTCATTATGTTGCTTTCACTTTTCTGACATTTTATCTTCATCCCATCTCAAAGGTTCTGTGTTACAAAGGTAGAACTGCTACGTTGGGCTCTGATGGACATTAGAATCCAGTCCTGATGTTCTTTGAAGATTTTCCTGGATTATGTTTCAGATCAGAGATATCTCTGATGAGGTTTCCTTTGGAATCTCAGAATGACTACAAACAGGAGCTGCAGTTGAGAGCTCTGTTAGCTAGCAGCAAGAAGGTGCTGGGTTCAATTCCAGCCTGGGCTTTTTCTGCTTTGGGGTTATCATGTTCTCTCTGTGCATGCCTGGGTTCTCTGTGGGTACTCCATTTTTCTCTCTAGGGAACTGCGTATGTGGCTACTGCTTGGTCGCTTATCTGCAGGCCACTGACTATTAGGTTCAATGGTTTCTCGAAATCAGTATTTCCCAACACTGGTCCTCAAGGAATACAGACATGCATTTTTTAGATGTTCTCCTGCTTCAACACACCCCTCATTTGTTGGTTGTATCACTTATGCACAAAACTTGGCTGTTATACGAGTACAACATAGGCACAAGTCAGGGTAATAGATCTGGTATGAGAGGGATTTCTCTGGTGTATGTGTCTTTGCTATTGCATTGTGTTGTTTACAAAAAAATACAATTAAAAGTATTTGATCAAAAAAAAAAGAAAAAAAGAAGAGTTAGAGATAAAACCCCGAGCCAGCCTTTCTAACGGCAGCTGTGTTGGTGTTTCCTGCAGGAGGCTCAGTAACAGTCTGGCAGCTGCTGAAGGAGAGGAAACACCATCTAGAGAAACGCTACAAGAGTAAGAAGAAGAAATGACTCGGAGTTGGATTATTCAGGGACAACGGGATAACTCTGTTTTCAAACCTTCTGATTCATCAAACAAACATTTCAGATTGCACAAAAGGAAAAAAGATATGCCAGATTTTTGCAGCAGTTTAATGAAAACATGTTTCTGACTAACCATAGAGCAACAGTAGCAGTTTCCACTCAAGTTTTTTTCACCAAGTAGGAGAGATGATGTTGTGTACAAATGTCACCATGGTAACACCCCACCATGGATCCTCTGAACTACCAGCTGTATGCTCTGGTCCACACGGCTTTCTTCTTGAACTCAGTGGACGACTTCAGACCCAGGAGAGCAGCTGGAATCAGATCAGAACATGGATGGTCAGCTGGACAGCAGAATTAATAAACCGTTCTAAACTGACCATTCTAACATCTAACATTACAAATCACTGTTTATATCAGGAAGGTCTAACTGATGTTCATTCAGGTGATTTGTACAAGTTGCCACGGAAACCTTCTACTACTTGCAATCAGGGGGCTCCATCTATGTGAAGTCAAATTTACTCCAATAAAGTAAATCTAACTTTATTGGAGTTCAGAGTTGAGCTTTGTTATTAAGTCCAACTCTGAATTTTAAATCCCAGAAAAAAAAATCACATAAGCTTAAAAGATAAATCACATTTTCTGTTTCTTAAAGATGTGCCTTCATCTACTGGAGATGATCATTTAAAATAAAATGTTAAAATGGCCTAAGGAAACCTGGACATCTAGGCTGCTTTCAAAGATGATGAAAAAATCTTGCTGGTTGGACAAAAAGTCATGGAATGACCGCTGGGTAGGGTCTCACTACATATTGCGCATTTATTGTATTATCAGGCTAATATATTTCTGTTGTATTTTAGCCTGATATTTAGCCAAGTTCTGAAGCTACCAAAATGCTAAAGGTTAGTTCATGTGTTTTATTTTGCATTATGATTTTTTTTTTGTGTGTGTGTTATTAGGACATTTATTTAGGAAAATTTTAAGTAGGAACTAATATTCAGGATGTTTGTTCTGCTGGGGCACCTAACAGAGATGCACCCCTCTGGTGAGGTATGAGAACAAGTGGCAGCAGAAAAGGCCAATTAAGTAAAACAGTGTAATGAATACTGAAGATTAGTCATAAGGACTTATTTTCAACCTCTAAAGACGGGTCAGCCAGCAAGGTATGTTTATATGCTATATATAAATTTTTATGTTTTTATTGTATTCATTGCACCATCTCATTGAAGTTTATGTTAGTTCGATGGTCATGACAAAGTATTCAACAAGGTGGTGCTGCAACAAATGCAACTGTAAGATTCTACATCCCATATTAAAGCCGACTACCAGTAAAACAAAGTCTATACCCTACCCTACCCCCAAGAGCTGGAAGTGATAGAGCAGGAAGTTCACATTACAAAAAGAGGAAGGAAGAGACCAAGCAGATATCACACCTGATCGTCGGAATCTTTACCTATATTATCGTCATCACAAGATTTTCTAATATTGTGATAATCAAAAACCTAAGACTGGTCTTGCTCTCCTGAAGCCAGTATCTGAGCTGGGTGTGAGCTGTAGTGGTTGCGGTCCAAGGCAGTTCTAATACCAATGAGTAAACCTATGATAAAAATCACCCACTTGAGACATTTGTTTCAGAATCACAAGAAGGAAAAAAATAAACCTAATGCCATGAAGGAAAAAGCTATTAGTGTAATTTAAAAAGGAAAAGTCCAATAGAGTATAAACTTACACATTTATTATTTCTAAATGTAAAAATAATTTGTTTGCAAATCAAAGCCTTTTCTTTTAGAATGACTCCTCTGTTTGGGTTATGTCTGTTTACTCTCACTCACTTTTAGGAACAAATGTGAGTGCATCAGGGAGAATAAACGGACTAACTGTACAGAAGCAGCTACAGAAGACCTGAGCCGTAAACAGATGGAGGAATGAAACATGCTGCACCTCTGGCTGTGCTGATGATGATGACTGACAGATTCTCTTCAGGACCTTCTGTTATGCTGAGGAGCCAGTCGATAAACTGAAACACACACACGCACACGGTTGTCATGTTGGACCTATAACCTTAAAGCCAGCAGTAAGTCACCTAACCTTACACTTCTCACCTTGTGTGTCTGGCTGCTCCATGGCTCTTTGCCTAGCAGCAGCGGCAGGCTGTGTGACACTCCCAGCATGCACTGTGGCAGAGCGAGCTCGCTGAGTGAAAGTGACCCATACAAACCATGCTCTAGTGCTGGAGGCTTGGAATCTGGTTGCCATGGGAACCATTGGGGCCTGATGCCAAAGAGAAGGGGCATGAAGTGGTCACCCCAGGAGATGACAGCAGCAGCAAAGAGCTGGAACAGGAAGTCAGTGGCCTGCAGATAAACAGCCAAACAGTAGCCACATGTTTTTAGCCACTAAAATACCATCCACACTATACATTTTCACAAAATAGTAATCATTAATAATTTGAACCCATTTAACAAATATAAATCTGAAATGTGTGGCATGCATCAGAATCCAGTCTCCTGAGTCAATACTGCCTCTACTTATTTTGCACAAACAACTTTCTCCCTTCTTTACATCAAACCTTGGTGGGTATAACAAGAGGCAGTGGAAAACAGTAGGCAAGTATGTGGATGTCCTATTCTGGTCACCATGCAACAGAAGGGACCATAGAATTTGAAAATTAAAAACCATAGAAACCCATATAGCTGTACTGATAAACTAAAAAAAGTTTAAACAATTGACATGCTTAGGCCTCAAGGTAAATTAAGTTGCAGAATATTAAAAGATTTTGCTGTAAAATGGCGTCTGATATCTGAAGAGAAGCTCTAAAAGGTTTCTGGTTTATGTTTAATAAGAAGTTGAGTCATTCCTGTGAGTTAGTTGGAGAACAGGACCTGCGCAACACATACTGAGTCATCAGTGACATGCAGCAACATGACTCACATGTGGAAAAGCAGCACTGACTCACTGACTGGATGTGTGGTGTGGCAAGGGGAGGTGAATGGACCAGACCTGACCGGACCCTACCTTCTTAGTGTCTCCAGATCTGATGGAAGTCGCTCCATAGGCGATGTTCCGGATGTGTCCCATCAGCTCCAGCAGCCACTCCATGCGCTTGGAGACACCTGACGGAGAAGCGGGCATGCTCAACACGCAGACTTAGACAGTAGAGCCGCTGTTACCAGCAGAACTGCACTCTGACCTGTACTGGTGCCAGCAGTCAGCCGACACTGGTAAAAGGCCTGCAAGAGGATCCAGCCCAGTCTGCAGCTTGACCAACCACAGAGCACACCGGTGATGACATCATTGAGGCTGAGCAGCGGAAGTCTGCCCTGAGAGGTGAGGAATGCCAGGACGAAGCAGGCTTTTTCCACCTGAGCCTGAGATTCACACAAACGCTCAGCTTTACTCACAGAGCAATTGCTCTCACTTCCTGACACCACACTGACTTCTGACCCCACACTGACCTCTGACACCTGAACGATCCTGTCAATCTCCGTGTCAGACATCTCAGACAGACACCTGGCCACACCCACATAGAGATCCACCTCAGCATCCTGAAACAAGAACAAACACCAGGAGCTGGACAGCATTCCTGTTTTGATCTTTGATTTCTCTAATTAGTAGGGCTGTGTAATAATATCAATTTTGCGATATATAT